AACAATCTGGGTCTCATCAAGCCCAGGTTATTTTTGGTGTCCTCAACATCTTAAGTATGTTCCATCTCAACAGCTCAAATACAAAACTATTTCACATGTATGACCAATCAAATAAAAAACCTTTTCACATGTATGACCAATTAAATTTGACATATATCTCATTCATTTCTTTGCATGTATCAGTTAACTATATCCTAGAGAAACGGCGATAAAAATCCTCTATACCAACAAAACATATATGTCCAACCAACTAATGCTAATTTCATATACACTTTATGAAAATCTTGGGATTAATATTACACAAAATTTGGGATTTACGTTACCAAATAGTTAGGATTCACATTACGAAATAGTTGGGACTCACCTTAGGAAAAGTTTAGGATGCACCTTTTGAAAAAGTTGGGATGTATATTACGAAAAATTTGGGATGCACATTAGGAAAATGTTAGGATACACTTTACAAATACTTTGAGATTTATATTACGAAAATGTTAGGATGTACCTTAGAAAAATATTGTGACTCACTTTACACAAATATTGGAATGTAGATAAGGAAGAATTTGGGATGCTTATTAGGAGAAAGTTGAGATGTAACTTAGGAAAACGTTGCGCTGCAAGCCCAATAAAAAAACATTTTCTTAACATTGTAACACTCTGAAACACTCTTTTTCGGCCAGTCATGTACCCTACAAATCCTCTCATTTTTTATCCTCACAAACAAACATTAAAACCCCTAATAACTGCACAATAAAATAGCGATCAATTCAAATTCACCAATAATTTTCTAATTCTGGGTTTCTTACCAAAAATGTGTTTATATATTCTTACTAATTATATTTGTTTTTGCCATTCAGTTTTTCTCGAAATAAGACGATTTCCTTCAATATGAAATCTTAAAATTACGAATCGTACCTGCTTAGGGTTGGAAATAAGGTGATCTCCTGCTTCGATTTGGAAATACACTCCTGCTTAGCTTTGGAAATATACTGCTACTTCTTTTTGGAAGGAAATTAGAATCTGCAATTTTATTGGGAATGACAAAAGTGCTATTTCTATTTGGAAACAATTTGTAGCATCGAAATTTTGGGTTGATTCACACAACAATTGTTGCTTCTGGATTCTATTTAGAAAGAAATAAATTTCTAAAATGGTTTCATTCATATTTTGGGAGAAAAGGCTAGTGGCGGGATTTGATTTCTATTTCAAATGGCGCCTGAAGTGAGGGAAGGAAGAGGAAGAAGAAATAAGGGAGGGAACAAAAAGGGTGTATACTTGAACAATATATACATATACATATATATATATATATACAGAAATTCTGTATTAGGAAAATATATTTTTTAACCAAACATGGTAAACACTGTTCATTAACCCAAAATGGAGCAAATAGACCACTATGTAATTGGAGGTGATCCTGGTCCATATACAACACCCCAACATTGGTGTCTCACAGAGGTATGGCTCCACTAAAGCTATTGTTGTGGGTCCTATTTGGGCATGGGATGTATATTATATAAAGGGATTTTTACATATAAATGGAGTTAGGGAGCCATATTTACTTATGGATGGAGTCAAAGTCTTATATTTTCACAAAAATGAGTTTGACCTAAATGATGACACGGCATATGAAGTTTTACTGTTTAAAATTTTTGTTACCTAAAATGCCCTTCTCTCTATTCTAATGCATTTACCTTATCACCCTTGTTTAGAAAACATGGTACTTGGAGGCCAAAAAGTGGTACCTTCAGTTCAAAAACGTGGTACCTTTAGAACAAAAGTGGTACCTTTATAAAAGGGACTTATTTTTGCAATTGAAAATGACATTAAACCCCACACCGCTAATTATGTTGCACATTACATCCATAAACAGCTCCATTAGCGCCATGAATAACACAAAATATTCTCCAAGCTAGCTAAGCGAGTGTTTAGAAAACATGGTACCTGAAGGCCAAAAAGTGGTACCTTCAGTTCAAAAACGTGGTACCTTAAGAACAAAAGTGGTACCTTCGTAAAAGGAACTTATTTTTGCAATTGAAAATGGTATTAAACCCCACACCGTTAATTAAGTTGCATATTAGATCCATAAATAGCTCCGTTAGCGCCATAAATAACACAATATTCTCCAAGCTAGCTAAGCGAGTGTTTACGAAACATGGTTCCTGGAGGCCAAAAAGTGGTACCTTCAATTCAAATACATGGTACCTATGGGAAAAAAGTGATACCTTCGCAACCGCTAATTAGATTGCACATTACATCCACAAATAAATTCATTAGTGTTATAAAGAGTACAAACTATATTCCAATCTAGCTGACTTGAGGGAACGAATAGTACAAAATATACTCCAAGATCACTTGGAACATTGTTTATCTGCTAATTTTTTTTTTTAAAAATTTTACAATATATCGTAAACACAATTATTCTCTACTTGATAGGTAAAGAAGCTGCTTTTAAGCCAATTCCATAATGGAATAGTACCTGCAACCCAAATTATCCTTCAGGAGGTGCGCTTGGTTCTTACAAAATAGGAACTTACCTCCACAAATTAATGTAAGAGTTGTCGAAATTAGGGTTAGGGCTTTAAGCTTGTAAGGAGTAAGATCAAACAATGGTGAAACCTCGCAAAAAGTTCTCTTTACCTGCTAAGTGCCCTCAGTTCTTTAAAGTTTTTCTCCCAGAACTAAATCCGTTCATCAATTAAAAAATTCATCAATGTTAATCAATGCCTATCACTACAACAAAAAATTCATTCTACAATTAAAAAATTCACCATTTATCAATGTTCCAATACATGAACTAAATCCATTTGTTAAGAAAGTCATCAATTTCCTAACACTGCTGTTGAAAAATTTATAAACCTTCTTATTAAATAGAAGAGCCTAATATGTATTTATTAAATAGAACAACCAAAATCCATTACTTTTCATTAAATCAAAACCATCAAGTGAAGTACCATGTCTACAAAATATTTTAAGTCACCACGAATGTCAAAAAAGTTATCACCCATCCAATCTAATAAAGTCAACAAGAAATAAAAAACTAAATCACTAAATTTAAAGGAAGCAATCATCTTTTGCAAAATAAGAACACAATTATTAAGTTTGAACATTTATTAGCCCTCACTCGTCCATACAAAGTCTTGATTGCAATATTAGCCCCCACTCATCCATACAAAGTCTTGATGGCAAGAATCGATCCTCCAATCACACTGTCAAAAAAAAAAAAAAAGTTACTACATTTAATTGTATCACATTAACGAAAAAATTAACCAACCTTAAAGAAGTAGGCGAAACGGAAAATGTGAAGGAGAGGAATTGAAAACGTGGAAAAATTTTCAAACTCTTAAACAAAATGAAAAAATATAATTAAATGCATAAGATGAGGCATTCTAGAATTTCTAGACTGGGGCATTCCAAAATTTCAATAACACATCAGTATAATTATAATTATATGTAAAGAAAAATATAATTCTAGACTGGAGCATTCCAAAATCTCAATAACACATTAATCTCTTTAAGTTATAATGTATAAGATGTATGTTTGAATTCAAGATAATCATTCTATTCTCATCTTACAATTAATATATATATATATATATATATATATATATATAAGTAGCGTCCTACAATTAATTAAGACCCAGATCTATATCAAAATTCTAAATGGTCTTCATGTATAAGAGGTCTAGAGACCAAATTGTCTCCCTATTATCATTGAAAAATTCTAAAGATTTAATTATGACCCAGATCCATATCAAACATGATCTTTGGATACCATAATTTTTTTAACAATTGCATTATTGAAATAGTTATTCAAAAGTCCCAAACAGCCTTGCCGATTAAAATAGTGCGAAAAAAAAAATTCTACTATACTAACTATTTAGATGTAGTATATGATAATTAAGAAATATTTGTGTTATTTATGGCGCTAATGGAGCTATTTATGGATCTAATGTGTAACTTAATTAGCGGTGTGGGGTTTAATACCATTTTCAATTGCAAAAATAAGTTCTTTTTACGAAGGTACCACTTTTGTTCTAAAGATACCACGTTTTTGAACTGAAGGTACCACTTTTTGGCCTCTAGGTACCATATTTTCTAAATACTCGCTTAACTAGCTTAGAGAATATTTTGTATTATTCATGGCACTAATGGAGCTATTTATGGATGTAATGTGCAACTTAATTAGCGGTGTGGGGTCTAATGCCATTTTCGATTGCAAAAATAAGTCCATTTTACGAAGGTACCACTTTTGTTCTAAAGGTACCACGTTTTTGAACTGAAGGTATCACTTTTTGGCCTCCAGGTATCATGTTTTCTAAACGAGGGTAATAAGGTAAATGTATTGGAATACGGAGAAGGGCATTTTAGGTAACAAAAATTTTAAACAGTAAAACTTCATGTGCCATGTCATCATTTAGGTCAAACTCATTTTTGTGAAAATATAAGATTTTGACTTCATCCATGAGTAAATATGGCTCCCTAACTCCATTTATATGTAAAAATCCCTTATATAAATATATATACTTTTTTTATTTAAACCCCTTCAAATTCTTTGCAATTCTTTCCAATTACGCCTCTTTAAACCAAACAACACTAGTGCAATTCAGAACATATCAAATCAAATGTATATTCTTTGTATAGACATTATTTTCATCACTTCATTAAATGCAGCGGTGTATGCAAAGAAATCTTGAAAGATCAAAAGATCCTCTTTGTATAGCTCAGTATCATTCGAAAAGGCCGGCCAAGGACGGCTGCCTTGTCTTCTTCTTTTTCACCATCTCTCTCACTTCTCTCTCTCTCTCTAGACATCCAGCCTGCATTTGTTCCTTCTTTCTTCAACACATGTCTTCTTCCTCTTCTTTCCTCTTGTTATTGTTGTTGTTACTTGTTGCTCTTGTTCATCATCTTTTCTTGACTATGTCACCCATTTGCTACCATACCCTCTATTATTCGCAGACTTCACTACTTCCCAAAACTAGTACTATAATTGCATAGCCATGGGTTGTGCTCAGGGTAAGCCTTCCACGAACTCACCACCCCGAGGCTTACGGAAGTTGAAGATGGAAAACGGCTATGTTGCAAGAGGAGGGAACGTTGGATCTCGAAGATCAACTGGTCAGAGGCTTTTGGGCAAGGAAAAGGGCCGGCCTTTTCTCCGGCCAGAGTTGAGAAACAACAGTGCTAGTTATGGTAGTAGTGGTAGTGGTAGTGGTAGTGGTAGTGGTAGTGGTAGTGGTAATGCGAAAGCCAAAGGTGGTCAGGATGGCAAGTTAATCACTGGAGAGGTGGAGAGAAAAAGTAGTGGAGGAGGTGGTGTAGGTGGAGGCGGTGGCAGCAGTGGCAGTGGGGGCAGTGTTTTTGGTAGGATTACGTCATCATCGAAGCCTTCCAGTGAGGATGAGATGGTGGATGGATGGCCAAAATGGCTCACCGATAATATTCCTAGAGATGTTCTGTCTGGTTTAGTTCCCAAGAGTGCAGAATCTTATGACAAGCTTGATAAGGTCAGCCTTCTATAATTTTATTTTTTTATTTTTATATAACGAGTGTCCAGGGCTTTGGACTTATCCACGGAAATCATGTAAAAACACAGATCGAGTAAAGCTTGGATCAAGTCTGCGGGTGTGGCCCTTAAAGAATTGTTAATTGTACCAGTTAGAATTCGATTACAACATACATAATTACATATACAGTTTTAGACTGCTTAGATTGGTAGGATTTTTCTAAACTTCTTAAAACTGCAGTCCTATGATCATACAGTTGATAAGGTAATACCTTCTGTTCTTGATCAGAACAAACTTTATAGAACAAAGAAACTAGCTACGTGAGCTGTGTTTGACAGTGTCTTTGGTATAAAAGGTAGGGCAAGGGACCTACAGCAATGTATATAAAGCTCGAGATAGGGGCACCGGAAAGATTGTAGCCCTCAAGAAGGTTCGCTTTAACACATCAGAACCCGAGAGTGTGAAATTTATGGCACGAGAGATTATGTTCTTGCGGAAACTAGATCATCCAAATATCATAAAGCTTGAAGGATTAGCCACATCAAGAATGCAGTATAGTCTTTATCTTGTTTTTGATTACATGCAGTCCGATTTGTCAAGAATCATTGCCCGCCCTGGTCAGAGGCTTACTGAACCACAGGTCAAAACCTTGGCTTTTTGTGTATTTATCATTTCAGATTCTAAGAACGTGGAGGATATATATTCCAATGTTTGAATATTGTGGATGCAGGTGAAGTGTTATATGCATCAACTGCTTTCTGGCCTTCAGCACTGCCACGAAAGGGGAATTTTGCACCGGGACATTAAAGGATCCAACTTGTTGATAGATAAAAGTGGGATGCTGAAGATCGCAGATTTTGGGCTGGCAAATTATTTTAACCCTGAGAAGAAGCGTCCTCTCACAAGCCGAGTGGTGACACTTTGGTACAGAGCCCCTGAGCTGCTGTTAGGTACCACGGATTATGGAGTTGGGATTGATCTTTGGAGTGCTGGATGCCTACTGGCAGAGATGTTTGCAGGGAGACCGGTTATGCCTGGTAGGACTGAGGTAATGCTGTTCAACTAAGCATTCATAATTTATGTTTCAGTATCAACTCCAATTCTAGGCTAATTCAGTTGATCAAAACCACCATATAATAATATATTATGAAAACTTAGTCAAATTAATTACTTGGAATTGTTCCTTTGTGGTTATATCTAAATGTCAAATTATTTGAGGCTTCAATGGAACAGTAGATGTTGAGGCATTTTTAGGTCATTAGTCATGAAAATTATTTCTCAGATTATCTATTTTTTTATGCGTGCAGGTTGAGCAAATCCATAGGATTTTCAAGCTATGTGGAACACCCTCAGATGATTACTGGAAGAAGCTGAAGGTGTCTACAACCCTAAAACCACCAAATTCATACAAACCTACTATTCGTGGAGTATTTCGAGACTTCCCTGCATCTTCTTTGGGTCTTGTGAACACACTTCTTGCTCTAGATCCTGCATATCGTGGCACTGCAGTGGCTGCCCTTCAAAATAACGTAAGCACCACAAATCGAAAGCCCTAAATTTCCAATGCCTCACTATTAAAATTTATGGTTATATATGTAGTTATTATTTCAATACATTATAGACCAGATAATTACTAGCATGATGAATTCATTATATTATCTATGATGATAAGTTCCATTTGACATCTACTGAAGCTGAAAGCTTAAACTAAGTGGAAGCCCAAAAATCCAATTCCGAGAAAATTGAAAGCTTATCAACAAGTAAAAGCCTCTTTTAAATTTTTTTTATTGTAGAAATTGGTTAGCAATAATGCTGTTTTCAATTTCTCAGAAGTTGTAAATTGTGATGGAAAAGTTATTTTTATCAAAACAGAATAATACTTTCATATCATTCTGTGCTAAAAAATATCTCCTGATTGCAGTTCTTTCACACAAGCCCATTGGCGTGCAACCTTTCAGGTTTACCAGTGATTGACAAAGAGGATGATGAACTGACTCAAACCAATGAGAGCAGAAAGTAAGTTCCTGTTCAAAAAATTTAAGTTTCATGATCATTTTTCTATTGTATTTATGAAATTAACTAGTAGTAGTGACACATTAATTACTTCAGAATTTCATTGAACCTTACTGTATATTATGACCATAGAAAGAGAGCATAAATTAAGGTTGAGAGGATGCTTTTATCTCATTGAGTTATGGGATCCAATATGAATTTGATTTTATACATTCAACAATTTAGTTTGATTCGGGTTATTTAAAACAATTGTCAAGAACTCAAATTATAGAAGACGGAACTCTTAAAATAGATTTTTTTTTTTTTTTTTAACTAAAATTTTAGAAAACAATTTTCAAAAATTTCCCCTCAATTTTCTGATTTTCAGTTATCAAAAAACTTAGTAGTGTTGTCACAAAATTGAACCAAACATGCCTTTTTCTTTTGTTGTCAGGTTAAAAACAAAAAAAAAAGCTTTTCTTTTCTCTCAGTTTTTGATATATTGCAACTGTTTTAATTGTTTTCATTAATTGTTCAATCTTGAAAATCATAATTTGATGGAAGAAGGAATAGGGTGCTTTGGTGCTATGGAGAAAGAAACGAACTACAGAAAATATGATGAAACTTTCATTAAACTATATATCAGAATCTAAAGAATAATAGAGACCACCTCGTAATAAAATGAATTAATCTAGTGATATGAGATATGATAGTTACATCAATTGTATACTTGCACATAGTTTAATTCATGATTCGATACATTAGAAATAATGCCCAAAACCATGTGTTTTTTTTTTTTTTTTTTTTCTCTCCCTCTCTCTCTCTCTCTCTACAGGCATAGGAATGGGAAAATGAGACAAAGTTCTCGGACACAAAAAGAGCGGCGGAGAAAGGATCTGACTACAGAAAAGCCAAAGGCAGGTTCGAATTCTTCGAAAGAGGTACACATCTCACCTTCAGTTAATCATACACATAGTGTGAATAAATTTCTTTACGTTTTGACTAAAAATTTAACAAAAAAATGAAAGCTTCCAAAACCAGCCATCCGTCTGGCCGGAATCCCAAACCTAACCACCTCAAACCGCCTCTTTTCTTCCCATCCAATGAGCCTTCTAAGGTAGCACAACCCTTTCCATATCCATCCTCAAAAAATTCATCACACTCATGCATTAACACTACCACAAAACCCACCATACCACCAAAACGTCAGGCTCTAACACCATCTAAACCACTGAAGGTCTCATTTTCCACTCATGCTCAGACTCATTCACCTAAGCAACACCCCTCAAGGTTTATTGATGATCACAACAATGTCCTCCAGGTCATCGACCCCATGAACACTCAGGCCTTGAATGATGAAATCTACAGACTGGGTGTTGAGCTTTCTGAGTTTAGAAGCAACTACACTTACAACCACCTTCTTGAAGAAGTAGAAAGGCTCGGAGGTATCATTGAAGATGGTCTCAAATGTAAAGCCAAGTTGAGGTCAAGGATCAATGAGTTTAGTGACCAAATAATCTCCAGTAACCACATAACCTTATTACAGGATTGTGATCCTACTCCCTCTCCAGTGTACTTGAGGATGATCTTCCCTTCACTAGACCAGCGCAACTTCCATCGGAGCAGCAACCGTTATCCACCACATCCAACCGCCACAATTGTCACATCATCTAACCAGACAATGCTGCTGTAACAACCCAAACCGGACATTATCCGGGTCCTAACCAGACCCGACACCACCCAAGGGTAATAAAGTCAAGGAGAGAAATGACTTGACTCTAAATGAGCCAAGGGGAGTCCATTTAAGTCTTCACAGCCATATAAACTCATTTAGTATGGTTCTAGATACAAAGACAATGATCTCACTTAATTAGGCCTTTACGGTTTGGGAGATTTCCGGAGTAATCTGCATTAAAATGGTCATAACTTCCTCTACGGTTAGAATTTTGGAATAAAATTGGTACCATTGGAAAATTGACTCAAAATTATTGAATTTAGACTCAAATTTGACCTAATTTGGTTAGGAAATGAAGGAGATATGACAGTTTGAAGTCTAGTCAAGAAATCTGGTGCGCTAAAGGCGTCAATCGGTTGAAACTCCCTGAAAACTGACAGTGATGGTCAGCCGGCCCAAACGATGTTTCAGTGATGCATACTCTCTGTTTTGGCCAAAATGAATTGTCAAGTAGCTGGCTTATATCACCAGCCGGCTGACACTTCGTAGGAGCTGAAAAATAGCTATTTTCTAGGTGCTTAAGGCATCGGGTACCCTATGGCATCAATGGTGACCGTAAATTAGTCTCAAACCTATCCCAAATGATCCAAAAACATGCATGAACATAAAATGAAGATAGGACACATCCTATATATACGTTCACCAATAAGAAATGACACTAAAACCCTCTTGTCTACCACATCATTTACAAACATTCATCCATTTGTAATGTTACTAAAAATAATGCTTAGGGCTGATATCTACATACACCAAAAGAAAAGGTAACATTGCCATTTAGGCTTTTACAAAAGAATGTCATAATTGGCTTAAAGTTTACAAAAACTGCCATTTAGTGCAAAAGTTACAAAAGAAGGGATTCTTCGACTTCAACTACCCTTGAGGAGGAACCTTGTCAACTACCAACTTGCTAGACCTGAAAAGTGTTAAAGGAATGGGTGAGCATGGAGGCTCAATAGAAGTTGTCCAAGACGTCAACTTTAGACTCCCTTGAGCCATATAACACACAAAGGGAATAAAAGAGAACTGGGATCATGCATTGGGTTTTTTTATTTATCAAATTTATATCACAATTAACATTTCCATCAACGACATTAATGCATTTCAATAAAAATGTGCATAGAATGCAATGCAATGTGCAATACTCCCAAACTTGGCCTCTACCGACCCTAACTCACACCGAAAACCGCTAACTGAGTTTACCAAGGTGAGATTAATTAGCTATCCTAAGCAAAAAAACCATTTGGGCCTAGTAATTAACTTTATGCGTCCTAAACTTGCATGCGCTCCCTCTGGGTGAAGTTAGCACCGAACTCGCGAAATCTGCTTCTTTTTATAAAAACCTCATTTCAACCCATTTCTCTATTCCCTTCCCCACCATGTCATGCAAATGCATCATTTTCATCAATTAAGCTGCATTTTCATCTATATAACAATAATGGCATAAACATGGCATCCCTTGGAAATTTAATACAACAATGGCATTTTCCACAATACAATTACAAACAAGGCATCTTATGGAAACCAACTATAAGCATGCTTAATATAGAACTCCATACCATCCCAAAATCGTGCTAGCATTCACATATCAAGCAAGTCTTCTCTAGAACAATATCATACATGTCTTTAACATAAAAAGGAATCCAACTTCACATTATTTATTAGCATGCTTTCTTCAAATTAACCATAGTAATATGTTAGCACTTAGATTCAACATAGAATAACATATTTACTTTATATAAGCATGCTAGGAACACACAATTATTTCAATAACACTTTACTAACAACTATCTCTTAATATAACATCAAACATGGGATTTATGAAAGAATCAAACAATAATTTTCACTGAAAGGCAAGTTCGAAGTCTTAGAAAACCCCTACCTCAAATTGTGCTAGCCAAACAAGCCCTAAGCAAGCCTAAATTTGAAATTCCTCCAAGTGTGTGCAAGATTGGTCTCAAATGAAAGCCCTTGATGCAAGGAACCAATCTCCTTTGTTGAGCTAAGCCTAAATCTCACTTTAGGGCTCTCAAAATGTGGATTAAAGCATGTAGTTTATAAATATATAGAGAGAAAGAGATCATATAGAGAGAGAAAGGGGTTAGCCGAGAATGGGAGGAAGAGGAGATGGTTTGGCAAGTTCTAATTGTGTGTGTGGTCCCTCTTTTGCCATGTGTTAATCTCTAGGCGGTTACTAACTTTAGGCCAAGTTACCACATTGCCCTCACTCATCCATTGCAATGTCATTCATTTCACACAAAATATCTTCTCTAATATATAGATATATGCATATGTATGTATGTATGAAATGTCTATAATGCTTTTCAATGAAATTGGCAAAATCGGAAGAAGTTCCTGAGCCCAGAAATCGTCCTGACTTCCGAAAAATTCTAAAATTGGTTTCGTCACTTCTAATTGACGTAAAATAATTAAAAATGCATTTTTAAAACTCTCGGCTCAATGAAATAACGTTAATAGCCCTTGGGGCCCGCGTGGCATGCAAAACGAGGCACATAAAATAAATAAAAGAAAAATTCAGAAAAATCCAGAAAAAAAATCTGGGACATTATAACAGCCAATTTGAATTTGAATCCCATCCCATCCTAACACCTTTAGGTACTCTCACAAACCACTTTCCACCTACTTAAAAGGTTATATCCCCCTTTTAGGTAAAGTATCTAAAGCCACATGCTATACCCCCTATCTGCCATGTCTAATCAGATGCATACCTCCCAAGTCTATACCACCTCCTCCTTCAGCTACAAACCACACAACCACTCTTCGCACCTTTGTTTCTCATCCACCCCAACCATATCCAAATCCAACCTAGGCTACCATTGTCAAGAATCCACCACCAAGAACTCCACTAAAACTTGTCAATCTCATAGAACCTACTTATAACATCATTGCACCACCACCTGAAGTTGAGCAAGTTGGCCTGGATCATATGAGAGCAAGCCTTTTAGGCTACTTTATTCATAAACCTCTTCCATTTGGCATGGTTAAGGACATCACTACCAGCCACTAGTCAGACAAAGGACTCACAAGAGTAACAAGCATAGAGAAAGGGTTATTTGAATTTTACTTTTCATTCTTGGAGCAATACAACACCATCATCACTCAAAGACCCAGGTTCCTATCTAACAAACCGTTGATCCTCACCCACTAGGAACCATGCTTCCAAAAAGGTATTATCTCTTCAATTCCAATCTGGATTAGGCTCTTCGGAATGCCACTGCAATTTTGGACTGAGAGTGGACTGAGCTATATCTCTAGCATCATTGGGACTCCTCTTTTCACTAATGCCGTTACTAAAGGTAGGCACAAAACTAGATTTACCAAAGTTTGTGTCGAGGTCAAGGCAATTGCAGACTTTCCATCTACCATTAAGATGCATACAGGATCAAGGAAAGTTGCCAATGTTATTGTGGAATATATAAATTGCCCTCCAATATGTTATACTTGCAAGTGCTTTGGTCATACAACCAAGACATGTTACAATTCCAACCCCCTATTAAAACACTTCATCCATCCACTGAATGGAAAACCATACCACTTAAGTAATCTTCTACCAAATTCCATTCCAAAACCACTGTCTACTATGTGAATGATTCACCTTTTAACTCACCATGCCCTAACCCCAAGGACTCTAGTTCTGTGTCACAACCTTCCCTGCAAATTCATCCTGGTCAGAATGTTATAACCCACTATTTTAAACCAAATGATAATTTCACAATTGATCTAAGTTCTTACCATCCCAACCAAATGTTCCCTGAAACTATACCTACAACCATCGTTAAACCTTCCACCTCCAAGCTCAACTATGTAGTGGCCTCTCACATTCTTCCATCTACAATGGACACATGCACCAGCGTTTCAAAATCAGATTCATGCACTAGTCTCCCTGCTGACTTATCCAAGCACAAAGCAATGAATGCAAGCAAACTCAAGAGTAAACTATCTTTTAAGAAGGCACTTACTAATCAAAAAGGGAATCTTTTCCCAGGTGGCAATCTCTTTAATACCGTTAGATGGTATCATTAGTTATATGGAACGTAAGGGGCCTTAATAACAGGATGAAGTGAAACAACTTCTTCGAGATAAAAAGGTTAATATTGTCTTCATCATAGAGACCAAGATTTAATCTGTTAACATTGATAGGGTGCAAAAATACCTTGTAAGGAATTGGAAGTTAACTCAAACCTACCAATACTCAAGTTTAGGGAGAATTTGGATCCTCTGAAATTCAAATAAGGTGGGCCTTCATGTTCTCCACAGTTCAAAATAGGCCATCCATTGCTCAGTTACTATACTCAGCAACAAAACCTCATTCTATATCTCCTTCATTTATATAGAAAATGACATCATTAAAAAAGAGAGTCTCTGGGCAGACATTCAACTACACTCAACCTTATTTTCTTCCTCACCATGGATTATTGGAGGAGAATTCAACATTGTCATGACAGTATCAGAAAATCATATAGGGTCCAAGAGAACCACCAAGGCTAGATAGATTTTAGAAACTGCTTGGATAACTCTAACCTAAGGATTTGAACTTCTCAGGAGTTTTCCAAACTTGGAACAACAAAAGTCCTGGTATCTCCAACATTTCCAAAAAGCTTAATAGAGTAATTATCAATGATCAATGGAATCACTTCTTCCCTCTATCCCACTGCAATTTCCTCCTACCTGGTATCTCTGACCATAGCCCCATGGTCATTACACATGGGAATCCTACACCATTGAGAATAGTGACTTTTAGATTCTTTAACTGCTGGAGCAATAATGAAGCCTTCTTACCATTTATATATACAATCCCATTCGAGCAAGTACATAGAAGGATATACCATATTCAAAGTCATTACCAAACTTAAAAGCGCCAAGCATCCACTTAAGAAGGAGTTCTCCAAGAATTTCAATACAATACAATTGGAAGTTCAAGCTACCAAAGACTCCCTCTCAGAATGCCAACTAGCACTTGATGTCACACCAGATGACCAATCACTAAGAGAATAAGAGAAGTAGCTTATTTTAATCTATATCAACCTTAGGACCAATGAAGAGAAAACATACAGATAGAAATCAAGAATTCAGTGGCTCAAAAGATGGTAACTCCAATACTTCCTTCTCTATAAATCCATTGCCTTAGGATTGAACATAAACAAGGTAACCTCAATCAATTCTTCTACTGATAAGCTTCTGGACACTGAGATTGTAATCAAATATGAGGTTGTGAACAACTTTCGCACAGCTCTAGGTATGAATCCAGACCCATATCTAGGTACAGAGGCTCTATCCCTCTTTATTAAGCCTTCACTACCTGGACTTTTCTCATCCTCCTTATGTTCCATTCCCACTACTGAGGAAATTAAGCAATACATATTCTCTTGAAATAGTGATAAGGCCCTTGGACCTAATGGGTTCAATGCTCTCTTCTTTAAGAAAGCCTAGCCAGTTATTGAGCTTGATATCACCATGGCAATAAGAGAATTCTTCATCTCTGGTAAACTACTTAGAGAGGTGAACTCCACATACATCACACTAATACCTAAAGTTGTTAATCCTTCGTCCCTCAATGAATTTAGACCTATATACTGCTATTCCACCATCTATAAGTGCATATCTAAGCTTTTAGCCATCAAACTCAAGCCCATATTACTCAATATCATTAGAACTACACAATCAGCCTTCATACAAGTAGACTTATTGATGATAACATCTTACTTGCACAAGAACTTCTCAATGGATACCATAGAAACTCCATCTCTTCCCCTAGGTATGCTCTAAAAATTGACCTACATAAGGCCTTTGACTCTGTCTTATGGCACTTCTTGTTTGACACCTTAAGAATACTTGAATTCCTAACTACATTTGTGTCTTAGATACAAACATATGTTTCCATACCATCATTCACCATCTTAGTCAATGGGAGTTCAATGGGTTCTTTAAAAGCATTAAAGGACTAAGGCAATGTGACCCCTTGTCACCATTTCTTTTTATAATTGTGATGTAGGTGTTCTCTAGCATTGTCAACAAATTCACCATAGAAATGCCCTTCAAATGCCACTGGAGATGAAAACACCTATCCTAACCCACCTCATTTTTGCTGATGATCTTATGTTCTTCTCATATGGTAGTTTACCATCCCTACAAATTATTAAAAAGGAAATTGATACCTTCTTATCTCTCTTTGGACTATAAAGCAATCAGAGTAAGAGCCATGTCTTCCTAGCTGGAGTCAATGAGCAAATAGAAACCACTATCCTCACCTATCTTTGGTTTGACAAAGGTGATCTTCCTGTGAGATACCTTAGAGTTCCACTTGTTACCTCCATGCTGAGAGCCAATGACTGCAGATCTCTGGTTGACAAAATCACATCAAGAATTGCCCACTGGACAAGTAAAGACCTCTCATTTGCTGGTAGATTACAATTAATCAAAGCAGTATTGTTCTCAACCCAAATGTGTTGGAGCTTTAAATTCTTTCTACCAAAGAGTATTATAGCTAAATTGGATGCCATCTTCAGAGCCTTTCTCTGATCTGGACCTGAACTCAAGAAGATTGGAGGGAAGGTAAATTAGGAAACTTCTTGTTTACCTAAAATGTGTGGTGGGCTTGGACTCCTAAACCTCTTCACATGGAATAGGGTTGTTGTTATAAAGCATCTATGGTATATTATCAAATCAAAGGACATGCTCTGGGTTCAATGGATTAACATTTATCTCCTTAATGGAAGAAGCATTTCGGAGGTGAAGACACCTGGACAGTGTTCTTGAATATGAAGGAACCTTCTCAGTTTTAGGACTGAGGCCATGTCAAACTTAAAATTGGTGATGGAAGCAAATCTAATTTCTGGTTTGACAACTGGTGTTACCCAGGTCCTCTACATCTTATTGTCACACCCCAGCAAATCATTGAATCCGTATATGATAGTAAGATAAGTTAAACTCATTCATCTTTGATTCCTCACAGTCCTTCCCAACCACCATCATAAACATACCACCCCAATTACAGCTTACATACAGACTACTACTGCCTTACTCACGAAGACATAACATTTTCAAGTGGATAACATCTGCTACTGGGGAATTCTTAATCTCACAAACAATGAAACATCTAAGCCAGTACTTACCTAGCATCCCTTGGTCTCATCTGGTCTAGTCCAAGCAAACAATACAAGAATATTCATTCACATTATGGGTGGCCATCCATCATAAGCTTCCAACACTGAATAGAAGATGTACTTCACACATCAATGCTATAATGTGTATTCTCGATCTACAATAGGGAGTTGGAATCCCATGACCATCTATTCTTTAAGTGTTCATATGCAAGGCCTTGTGGGCATTTCTACAAGCACGTTGTGGGTTCTTTATCCAACCATCTAATTGGTCTGACCTAATTGCATGGTCTTCATTCCATTAGAGAGGTAACTCAAACAATCACAGCTATACAATATCAAAGCTCTCTTTAGCCTTCTTGGTCTATAATATCTGGAACGAGAGGAATCGAACGATCTTCCAAAAGAAAATTACTCTCTCAAAACTCTAATTTGCATCTTACATGTGAGACAATTAGATTGAAGCTCATGTCTTCAACCATCCCAGATTCCTCTTCAGCTAGAAGATTAATTGCTGAATGGGAACTGGCATCATCAATCTTGAGACCTCCTGCCGAGCTTCCGGATCAAAAGAACTGAGGAGTTATTCTCCATGGTAATCACCAGAATTGTATCTTAGACCAGTAACGGTCATCTCCTCTGTTTACTCTTTAGGTATTGATTCCTTGATCCTCATTGGGTTGGAGGTACTCTTGGATCCAATTGTCTGTTAACTGGGCTAACTTCCATTTTATAGGCTTGTATAATCTTATACATATTTACAAAATGAAAATTAAATGAAAAAAAAAAAAAAAAAAAAACTCACCTTCGGTTTTTCATGAGCCTAGGAAGGGAGGTTGTATAAGAATGTTTCATTTTTAGAAGAGATTCGTATAATTTCTCAAACTATAAGGGAGGTCCTATAATTATAGCAAACCATAAGGATGGTCTGTGTAATTAATCCTAAAAATTTAAGAACTCTCTTTCATATTACCAAACTGACATAAAAAAGAATTAATAGATAAAGCATCTAAAGGCATTTGGATGTCCTTCTCCTAGGCATTTAAACCTTAACTGAATTCCAATGACAAAAAAAAGAAATTCCACACACCCTAACTAAATTTTATTAGGAGGTATTGGTTCAAACACGCGTAATCTGATCATCACTTATATATATTATATATATATATATATATATACCTACACAACATGATCTCACTGTAATTTTAATTTGGGAGTCATAATGCAAATTACAAATTTGATAAGGTACTATTATCAAATTTATTGATCAATCAAACATGTGTATATATATTCACCAATAATAGTGTATCTCTATACTACTCTCAATTTGTTTTGGGTTTTCCTCCCTTCCCCGGTTTCTTTCCTTAATTAGTTATAGGGTTTTTATCCATTCTCCTATTTTTCACTCCTAGAATTTTTATTTTTATTTTTTAAATTACACTTGACGGTTAACTAACATGTCATATCAATAATGATAATATAACATAAAAATCTTTCATGATATTTATCATTTCTCTTCCATCCTAACTTCTTGTATGCTAGTTATAATTTTTGTCAAATTAAACATATGATATATGTGCCACGGGAAAATTAACAAGTCTTAGTAATGAAAAGGGGGAATTGACATCATTACATTTTTTGTTATAGTTGGATTAAAAAACTCCCCTATCAAAACTTATCAAGTTATCCTCAAATTCGTGACTGATTTTTAATTGAGTTGTGAAATGTCAAATTTGACTCATATATATATATATATATATATATATATATATATATATATATATATTGTGCATTAGAAAATATAAATATTGAAGTTACATCCTCATTTAAAATTTTAAAATAAATTCACAATGGGTAACATCTAAAGTTCAAGCCTCACTGTTGTCTTGATAATTAAAATTTGAAATGACCAAAACTAGGTTAAAGATGAGGGAGTGCCTCAGAATATTGAAAGTGGACAATGATTAAATGTTTATATATATAATGTGTTATTATATTTCAGGAGCCAGGGAAGAATGCAGAGATGACTATCGAGAACAAAGAAGTGGGTAGCGGCACAACGGCAACCCGGCAAGAAGAGAGTTTAATTTCTGTCTCTAAAGATGTATCATCCCATCCAAAGATGTCCCCTAGAAGTGAAGCCCATCCTAATGCTACCAAGAACATAAAAAACTTGCCTCCATTACCCTATGCCAAAACCAGCAACATCAACTACAACGATGATGATAACCCGAACATGTACAGATTGAACCAAGTCTCTAGGTCTGTGTCCACAAGGGAATTCCGAAAACTTAATCCAAGAAAGCACTTTGAACTACATGATTTGGATGCTTAAGCCATGCATTAATTTGAGAGATAATCACATAGAGCTGAATCTTTATTGACATTTGTATGTTTGTTGTACTCTCATGTTTTTGTTTTATGTAATTCTTTTCTGATTATAGTTTATTTTGCAATCTAAAAAAGAAAATAATTCATTACTTCAGTTGGCACTTGCATTTTGTGTATTTTTTTTTTCCCACAGGAAACAAAGGAATTGTCTATTTTACTAGTAGCAAATAGCACGTTCTATATATATATATATTTCATTTTTCTTCTCATTAAGTCAAAACTTCTTTATAAAGAAGGAAAAATCATTTACAGAATATACGAGGCCTGCGAGGGGCATACTCCTGAAAAGGAGAAGGAAAAGGAAAAGGAAAAGGAAAAGATATACAAAAACAGAGGCCCGTTGTAGAGGCGCAAAACACAAGGACCAATCAGGTCAAACCCAATATCCATGAAGACTCAAATACAGGTCTATTTAAATAGCTATAAACTTAGGTGGATGACATGTATAGTGTTCGGCACGTGACAAAGTGCTGGTTCCGCTCTCCAGAATGTGTGGAATGGATAGAATAGTGTGTTGGTTTTGTCGATTGTGTATATGCTTCATGTAACATTTAAGATATAACAAACCTTATACTAATATGTCATGAGATAATTAACAATATGTTAAGAAATCATTAATTAAATATACAACTCTATATTTAATTAAATATGCAAAATAAAGTAATAAAATAATAATAATAAATAAAGAACATGGACCAAGGCTAGTATTGGATACTATGTCCTTAAGACAGATTTGCCCCGCTATGGTGCTTACGGACTCAGTAGCGTGTATCTCCCAAGATACAACAGTCTACATCCACCAGTAGCAGTACTATAAACTCGTGGATACGGCGAACCTTCTCCGTGTAATACTCTTTGTGACTCAAAAAATGCATCTATACTATATAAATGTTGAATTGAGTGCAATCTGAACCAAATGGTTCGAACCAATCTTAATATAGCTCGATGAAATTGGATTAGGGTCTAAGTGGTTCAGACAACTTAACCTATTCTTTGAACCCACTTGGGTTGGGTTCAAGTCTAGAGAGGGAGATAGAAGAAAATGAAAATGAATGATTTGCAAATGATCCAAAGGGGGGTATTTATAGGCAACAAGGTGCCTTTTCGGATTGGGTGCAACCCTTTGGAAAAAGGTAAAAAGTAGTTTTTAATTAATGTGCCTTTTCGGATTGGGTGCAACCCTTTGGAAAAAACTAAAAAGTAGTTTCTAAGTAAGGTGCATTTTCGGATTGGGTGTGTCTCTTCATCATTGGACACAACCATTTATATGTGTCTTTTCACACTGGACACATCCACTCCAATTGGTTGCAATGGTTCACATAGTGTCTGTTTACCAATAGACACATCCACTCTAATAGGTTGCAATGGTTTACATGGTGTCTATTCACCAATAGACACATCCACTCCAATAGGTTGCAATGGTTCACATGTATAGTTATGTCTATTGGTTTTAAGTTGCAACCCTTTAGAAACAGATGCAACTCTTTGAAAAGCAGATGCAACCCTTTAGAAATAGATACAATCCTTTGGAAAAAAAACTAACTTTTAATTTAAATTCAAAAACTAACTTCCCATTTAAATAAGCACAACCCAAAATTAAAGGCCCAATCCAATATTCCATTTAGTAAAAAGAATAATTGGATTTTACAATTAGGCCCAAGCCCAAACCCAAATTTGGCTTATTTAAATTTTAATTAGTTTCAACATTTTTTCCATGTAGGACAAACAATTCCCACATTTTGCATACCCATTTAGGCTTATCAAAACACCACACTTTGGAGCTAATTTCTCATTCACCTGGAAACGGATTTGAGAAAGTAAATATACCACGATCATCTTCTTACGGAGAGAAACGCGCTCGTCTAGATATCCGTAAAAAATTATTAGCGGAATCTATTCCAAATCTCATCCAAAGTTTATGTTTTTAATGCTCCCATTTCCAACAATCCCCCACATGAATGGAAATTTGCGTAAAATGCAAAACATGATCATGCAGACACTAGAGAGAGTATAGTGGGAAAGTTACCGTATCAAGATAGGTAGCTTTTGGCTTTGAACCTTCCCTAGTGTATTGCTATCGGATTTACTGGCTAACCAGTGAACGCGATGTCTTGAATTGTTGAGTCATTTGTATAAACCAAGACAATAACAAACACACTGTACCTTTCCTCACAAAGTTGGTTCTCATTGTTGTGTTCATTTTGGCCCTGAACAACTCCTGGTATTCAATGAGTGCTCCAGAAAACTTAGCCTTTATAGTTCTCATAGAAGCGGCCCCACTTTACACTCATATAGGTGACTTCTTATTAAGAGTATCCTACCATACCCTACTTGAATTTTCAAGGTATAAGAGTCATTAAAAGCGTAGCTTATCCTAATCCTCGCTGTAGGTAGCACTGTCTCGTCATTGAAATTGGCAGAAGATTTATATCTTCCCAGTGCTTCTGGTGAGTCACTCAGAATTTTTGTTGTCCCTTTGAACCTAAATCTTGGGATCTCCAGTCAACTAGGTTGGGTTTCCATTAAGGTGACTCATTAGCTTTCGGCTTTAAATCCCATTCCCCTCGATGATCTGTACAATTGCTCTCTAGTACAACCTTTAATTTTATATGTGGCCACATGGTTGTATATAGAAATATTATACTCTGCAGAGATTTCCCCAATTAAGAGCAAGTGTATACTTTGTGCCTTAAAATAGCTTATTATTGGCACAGGTGTAGGCTTATTTTGAAATGTCTTCTAAGTTAAGTATTTTAACTTTTCTATTTGATTTATTCAAAAATTTTAACTTTGATTCTTTAAAAGAACATACAACTACACCTTTAATATTAAAGACATATCCACTATTGGATTTGGAGTCTTTAATATCCCTCATCCAGATTGTATCACTGTTATACCTCCAATTTAGTTAGATACCTCGATCTATGCAATATTGGACTTGGGGTGTATCACAACTACCCAATTTATTGCTTTTCAGTGATCCCATCCTGGATTGAAAATGTATAATTAAACACAGTTATTAAGATGCCTTGTAATCTCAACCAATGATATACTTTGACTAGTATTTATATTTGAGATTTACATTTACAAAAGTTAGCTAGGCTTTTGTTATCATAACTAGTATTATCTCAATCTCACTCTATTGAGAATATACTATGTTATCATATATTAAATCTTTCATATCAAATATACTAATTAGTATATCATTAATTTTTTAAGACATACAATGACTTATACATCACATTTATGTCATTGTCTTTGTACTAGCTTTAATCCACTCAAGGACTTATTAGCTTGCACACTTTACTCTTCAACTAGAACAAATAACTTAGCTCTTCCATTAGAAAAAGAACTCTTCTAGTTATTCCATAATATTTTCCTGATAGGAAACAACATACACTATTGTTATAATACTATAAATGATTTTGGTTCTATCATAAAGCTCTTAGGACTACGAACCCCTACATTTATAAGTATTTCTTATCTGATGAGGTAACTCGCAGCAAATTTCATTTATGGACAATATCTCCCCATAACTTTAGGATAATCCTGAAATTTTATATATGATATATTTCTTATGGTTTTCTAACTCTTGAAATACCATATATTAAATATTTCACCTCATCTACCTTTCCAAGATTCTATATTCGCTTCTCAACAAGCATGTATAACAGTCTCTAGTACATATGTATTCACTTCATCTCTAGTTTGTTCTTATAATATGTCACAAATGTTACTGTGAATTAATGCTAGAGATATTAATTACAATAGGCTCAAATTAATATTTGCTTCTACATCTCTTGTATTTATGAATTGAATTATTCATGTTTAGGTTCATGTTAAGTCAGTTATATTAACATGTCATAACCTTTCATGTGTCACATATCACATAACTCAATCATTTAAGCAAATAATTATTTTAAGCTTTGGATACAATTACCACAGAGTGAGCACTCACTTTTTAGCTATCATTATTAGTTAAAAGTGAGTTATTAGCTATCATTACTAGCTTAGATTAAGTACACTCTTCTCGTATCTCACTACTAGGTTATGATGAGCACCCATATTTTAGCTATTACCGCTAGCTTGAAGTTAAGTTTGTTTAGCTATCAATTCTAGTAGTTCATAGCTTTAGTACACACTTATCTAAGTAGTCTACCTTGGTAGTTGAGTAATTTGTTTTGAAGAATATTCTTCAAAAATTACTACTTCACAAGTAGTATTATTCCCTCCTATATGAGCAGATATGATGTATAACTCAAATAACTAATGGCTAAAATGGCCACTCATCACCCTCATGTTTTTTACTATTAAGTTGAGAGCTAGAACCAACTAACAGTGTTTCATCTTCCTCTTAGGTTCTATGCACGTCATTAATCATTTTAACCTATACCTAAGCTAGCTAGTTTGCAACTCAATAACATTTTAGCTTTTAGCTAAATTGTACATTAGAGCTAACTAGCTTGATTTAGCTTGTCTCGGTGTACTTGCTTAGTGTATCCATAACATTTTCCATTAAACTCTTTAGAGTTATTGGAAAATCTTCTCTTAGTCAGCCTATTCACAACTATACGTGTCTTAAACACTAGTATAGATCTTTTTTCTTTTGATTATCGAGCAAATTGACATAGTTGGACTAGTCAATTTTTGTTTGTTGTATTAATACACAAACTAGTCATGAACTTATATATAAAGTTAATAATATCATACATTAACTATATTGTAAAATTAAATTATTATGTGCATTAAGTAATTCAACTACATAGTTCAATATTATAGTATCAAATAAAAGTAAATATTTATAAAAATAATATTAAACTTACATAACAATATAGTTTTATATTATATCACATGATTAATTATATCACATAATTAATATAAGAAATAATACAAATCAAGAGAAGAATTTGCTTCTTTAAAGCTTTGTGGCTTATTCTCCAATAA